GTGGCTGAATTTCAGACTATGAAATATTACAAAATGTATTTGGGGTGAATAAACTGACTGCTCCTTTCTGCCCCGCCTGATGTCAGCCACTAATGCCAAACTTCCCAAATTGGAGTCTGTGTGTGCCGGGGCGCCGCGAGGCCACCTGATTTCCCTCGAGGATCAGTGTCCATCAATGGGAGAAGCATCCAGAGATGCCTGTGTGTTAACTGCTCTCTGCACTCGATGGGACTCAGGGGGAGGCTGAACAGCGCTGCTGAGTGCGAAGGAAATACCGATTTATGGAACACCCCTCTGCCGAGGCCTGTGCTAGGTGTCTGCACTTCCCTTGTCCTAGTTAATTTCTTACCTAGTCATCCAACAGTCATGGGAAGAAGAGCGGGGAACAGTCAGTGACTTTTATTATTGTTTTGAGATGCATTTTAACTAAGCCTTCAGAGCCCAGCTCAGCATTTGGATCCCATCCTTCAAGTCGCCGGCTGCAGGTGAGAAAAAAGTGGCAGGAACTTGGTTGGGAAAGCATACCAGCGACGTCCTCGGGCTTGGGAAAAGTGGTTGATGCAGACACAGATGTGCTGACAGGTGATGAATTCTTGCTGATTACTTTAAAAGGGGTGTGTGTGTGTGTGTGTGTGTGTGTGTGCGCGCGCGCGCGCGCGTGTGTGTCTTAGAGCTTATTTTCATTTTCGAACTCGATTAGCCAGGAAATAAGTTTGCTCCTGACACAAATTCCAGCTGCTGTTTGCTCAACAGAATTTTGCCAAGAGATGCCCCTTCTCTGGTATAATGCTTATTTCCTCTTCCCAGCCCACTCACCACGTTCCTCGTTTGCGCTGCTGTTAAGCACTGCCCTCTGAGCTCTTCTCGCCAACACGGGAGGACCCCACTACCTTAACTGGTCAGAAATAAAAGCTCCCAAGGATGTGGAGGAAAGGGAACCCTCGTACACTGCTGGTGCAGTGTAAATTGGTACAGCCACTATGGAAAACAGTCTGGAATTCCTTAAAAAATTAAAAATGAAGATGCCATAAGACCTAGCAGAATCACTTCTGGATAGTTAGCAAAAAAAGCCCTGAAAAACAAAAATACTCATTCAAAAAGATATATGTACCTCTATGTTCACTGCACCATTATTTACAATAGCCAAGATCTTGTAATCTAGTATCCATAGACAGATGATTATTGGATAAAGAAGATATGCTATATGTATGTATATATACATACACACAGAGAGAATGGAATACTAGCCATAAAAATAATGAAATCTTGCCATCTGTGAAAACATGGATGGACCTAGAGTATATTATGCTAAGTGAAATAAGTCAAAGACAAATATCATTATGATTTCACTTATAAGTGAAATCTAAGAAAGCAAAAAAATTAATAAACAAAGCAGAAACAGATCCATAGATACAGAGAACAAGCTGATGGTTGCCAAAAGGGAGAGGGTGAGGGATGGGTGAAAAGAAAAAAATGTTAAAAATTATACAAGACTCTATGCTGAAAACTACATAATATAGTTGACAAAAATTAAAGAGAAAATAAATGGTGGGGGAAAGTTGTGTTTGCAGACTTAAGAACACACAAAAAATGAAAAATTTAATACTCCTAAAATTGATTTACAAATTCAGCATAAACTCATATATATATATATAAGCTCCATGACTCAAATCAGCCTACTGAACCTGTTCTGTTTGTCCTTTGACCCCTCTACTGTTTAATGACACATACGACACAGAAATTATCTGTAGTGAGCTCCAAAGCAATAGACAAATATCGGCTCTTTCTATTTCTATTGTCCTTACTATGGTATTTTACACTCATTCTGTCGAACTGCCTTGAGACTCTCATAAAGACGGTCAAACGCTTATCAGCAGTCTACAAAACTCTTTACAGGACAGAGAAACAAACTGTTCGGTAAAGTACGCACATGAAAGAATCCATTTATTTTCCAGGAAAGTATCCAAACTTGGGCTTTGGCGAAACACTTAAAACTACCTGTGAACAAACACGCATCCTTTTTGTTGACTCTCGAGGGGGCTAAGAGTCTTGCTGTGTGCAGATGCAAGAAGCACTGGCTGGGAATGCCCAGGCCAAGCGGACACCAGCGGCTTGTGTTTACTGTGTATTTAGAAAACAGAATGGCTCCCAAGAAAAGCAGTCCTTGCTTTATGTGACGAGCAACAACTTGTTCCTGCAAAGATGCTGTGGGCAAAACAATACAGCTTCCACGCAGAGGAGCCAGCCTTCCCTTAGAAGCACGGATGGACTGCAGCCACAGCAGATGAGTGCCTCAAATCAATTGTGAAAGACTTCACGGACTTATACGTGAAATCTAAGAAAACAAACCGACAGCTCTGGGTATGCTGACTTTAAAAACGCCTCTCGTTAAACTGACAGCCCAAACGGCAAGAAGGCATTACAGAAGCAGCCCACCTTCACTGCATCTCCCCATCATCCTTTCTCATCTTTGCACCTCTGTTGCTCTTACTTCCTGTCTGGTAATTAAATTCAAGCAGAAAAGGCAGCTTGGGGAGCACCACTCACACAGCCTCTCAGTTCCCAGATTCCTTGCAGCATCCTGGCACATCAAGCACTTCTGCAAGGTTGCCTCACTCTGTTAATGATGGAGAATGGGACAGTCACCCCATCATGGACAAGCTCTAGTGACTCCCCCAGCCAGGCCCAGCAATGTGGTGGAACATTGCCATGAGGCCAGCACAGGCGGCAGAGGGGCCGAGCTCCTGCAGTCACTGCCTCCCCCTTGATCTACGAGGAAGCAAACATCACATCCTCCTGAGTTCACCTGAGATTCCAAGAGAACAGATCTGACAAAATTCTGAAACAGCCAGTCGTCAAAGATGGCCCAAGTCTCTTACTCAATAGAGAACATACATTGTAAGAAATACAATGGCAGGAGTCCATCATCACCTTTTAGTGCATTCCCCAGGATGACAGTGGATTCTTAAAACCCCTAGGCATTTCCTTGCTATTTTACAGAGTGGGGCTTATCATAATTAAGAAATAAGAATCTGTGTTACCCTGCATTTTGTGACCCTTGAAACAAAAGTGATTTCTGGTGCCTTCTTCATTAAATCGCAAACCTAGGATTGTTTGTGAATGTGCTGGCTCCAGATAGATCTATATTTTGGACTTTGGTTGCCAGGAAAATTCCAGATTCCCAAGTCTGGGCTGTTATTCCTTCTTATCTGAGCAAGACTTAAGTTACTGTAGATTTGGAGAGGCAAGAAACACTTTGGCCATCACATTTTCCTATGATTTTGATCTTTGTTTCTCAAGTTTCACCAAAAGTTTAATCAAACCCTCCCCCCAAAAAACAGAAAAATCTCTTTTAAAAAGTCATTTCATCATAGAAACTTTAAAAAGTGACCGTATTAATCGTTCATCTGATTCAGAAACTATGAAAGAGAAATGTGCCAGTAAAAGACTAGAACAAGAAAAAATAAACACAGGAGAAATATGTTTCAAATTTCTACATTAACTACTATGGAAATATTTCTACGGTATTTTCAGACAATGACTGTCATGAAGACACATAGAATGTGAGGGCTATGTGGTGTGTGTATGTGTGTGTGCTTCAATTTTCTGTAGTTAATATGTCATCTTAAAGGGACAATTTATTAACTACTCCTTCAACGGAAAAAAATACTTATCATAGTAATAGCTTGTCTATCTCATAATCTGTGATTATAGTCATAAACTATATAGATAACATTATCCCCAATACAGCCCCACTGCTGGGAAAGCAAACAATGATCAAATGTTTTATTTGTTCAACTGAATTTTAGTCTCCTGCCAACGCAGTAGTAGATGGGGGCACCGTGACCTGACATAATGTGTTTTTATCTTGACTTGAAACTTAACCGAAGTGATAATAATATTATGGTAAAAATGATATCCTGGCAGGTGTAGCAAAAAATTAAAAGTGAGAATTTACTCCAAAAAATTACATCCTGGCAGGTGTAGCAAAAAATTAAAAGTGAGAATTTACTCTCTTTTATAGTCCTGTGCACCACAGATGCACCATCCACAAATGCGCTGTCCACAAAAGCACCGTGAATACAGAGGAATATAAATCAGCAATTAACCTTCTCTTTGGACCTCAGCATGGATTCTTCTCACCTCCCTCCCAAGGCCCTGGCAGCATGAACCTTCTCTCCCTCACCATCACCCATGTATTGTCTGCTTGTCCCTTCAAGAATACCAGCTCCAGGAGAGCTTGGACCTTCAGGATGCCGCTGATAGCCCATTGGAGGGGCAGCCTGGCTCAATAAGCATTTGAATGACTACACTCATTAACTTGGCTTCTGAGAAAAGAAATGGTGTGGATGGCCTGACCCCTTCACAATGCATTCAACCAGCTTCACTTTCTACCACCTACTCCGGGTCTAGTTCAATGTCAAAGGGCATGCCCACGCGGATTCACTTTCATTGGTTAATTGGTTTCTGCATAACTCAAAAAGTCAGCACAATACAAAAACATATATGTGAAGGATTCATTCCTATACCTACTTGCAATTGCTCCATCCCCTTATGCCCACTATAGATATGCATTTGTATTAGCTTCTTCTCTATCCTCCTGGAGTTTCTTTACGCAAATATAAGCAAATTAATCTGCATATTTCTATACCCCCATCTTTCTGACAAAGGGTGGCATACTCTACACACTATTCTTCACCTTGCTTCTTTCACTCGGAATGTACCTGGTCACTGTTCCTTATCAGAACACAGATCTTCGTCATTGTCTGTTAACGATGTCACAGCGTTCCACTGTGCACATCATCCTTCAACCGCTTCCTAATTGTCCACCTGGTGGCTTCTGATGTTATGGTGTTACACACAAAGTTTCCACAATAACTCTGTACAAATGTTATTGCATGACACATGCAGATGTACGTGTAGGAAAAATCCCCCCGAACGGGACTGCTGCACCTGGAATGTTGGTTCACTCTGCTGGATTCTTCTCCAGTAGCATTTTTAAAATTTATTGTTCAGTGCTCCAAAGATGTGGTGGTACCTTACATGGATGAGTGTGGTATAGGTCACCAGAACCTTTTTCTGCTCTTGTCAAGAACAGTGCTAACTTAATTCTTCACTTTCATAAAACACAGACGCTTTAAAATTTAAATCAGCACAGCATCCCTCAATGGTTGTCGGAGTTCAGCTTCCCTAATCTACTTCCACCCACCAATGCTCTAGTCTAGGCTAATAGATTTTTCCTCTAGTAATCTATTAGAGGAAAACAGGCCCTCAAAGAAAGCTTTGACAGCCTAGTTAATATAGGTGGAGTTAAATTTTTGTAAGAGTATTCAGGGATTCTAAATTAGCAGCAAATAGTTTTTCATCACAATATCCAAAATGATATGGAAAGAAATATATAAATGAATATTTTAAAACCTTATTCAATCTAATTAAAGGAACCTCTTTCCCCTGTTCCATGAAACTATTTTTATTCTCAGAGCTTTTGATAATTTGGGACTTTTTTCACAGTAAGAATCTGTAATTACAAAATGATGCCTATGTGCAGAATTAATGAAAAGGTTCTCTTCTTACCCCTTCTAGGGAAGGCATGAAGAAACATACCTTAACACGAGAATCTTAGCTTTCAGGAAATTAACCTCCGGCTTAAAATATTTATTACAGTCAAGAAGCACAAAAGTAATCATGTGCCTTTGTATCAGTGTGGATTTGCTAAGTATAAGCCATACTAGACTAAATCCATTCTTTGATGCATAGTTTTACATAACACCTTCAATTTACTTAAAAACCGTTTGGTATGGCCAATATGTGCTGGTGAATGTCAACTTCAATTCTAGGAACAGTTACCCTCATCAAGAACTTATACTCCATCCACCAAAGACATGCACAAGAATGTTTTCAGCTGCTTTATTCACGATAGCCCCAAACTGGAAACAATCAAACATCCAACCACTGTAAAATGGGTATCTAAATTTCACATAATGGAATACTACACAATAATGCAAAAAAAAAAAAAAAAAGAACAATTGATACACGCGGCAACATGAATGAATCAAGGGAAACGTAAGGATGATTCCACTTATGGAGATTCGCACCAGGCAAAACTAATCTACAGTAATTCTCGAGGCAGAATCATGATTACTTTTGGTAGGGGGTGTTTTGACTGGGAAGGAGTGGCTGGAAATGATCTACATCTTGACCTAGGTGTACCAAAAAATTAAAAGTGAGAACTGACTCCTCATTACATGGGTTATAAAACAGTAAGACTTGTGAACTTTATAAGTAAGTTGTATCTCAACATGCTGAGCTGGTCAGCTCGCTTTCTATCCAAGAAATTCTTACTCCAGAAATGGGAACTAGAAGCACTTCTACTCCCTAGGTCTGAGTAATACTAGCTCCTTTGCTAACTGGCAAGATGAACGTCGGAAATGGTTTTTCCTTGATGAAATTAGAGGTTTGTTAATTAACATGGTAAGTGTTAATAATAGGGTAAAATATCTTAGATACTCCCTATCCTTGAATAGATGGGGTCTAAGAATCCATCCAACAAGGCCCGTAGCCTGTACCTTAGATTCAGTCCCAAAAAAGGTCCAGCCATTCATTTGTAAACATTCTGGCTGCCTGATGCCTATCGAAAGGACAATGGAATCCTGCTTTGGGAAGACTGGCAAATTTGCCTTAAGGGAAGCTTCCGTCCCAAGTGGTGGTCACAGCACCTAAGGGGCACAGAGCTGGGGCTTCAAGTGGCAGGAGAGAACACGTGACCTGGAGTCTGCCTGGTTACTAACACACGTCTCTTTAACACGTGTCTGCTGCTGCATTTGGTCTGAAACGTGCCTTCATGATAATCTGGGAGCGAGGCTGCGGCAGAACAGCTAACCCCTACTCGCCTCCACCTTTTTGGTGGCTCTACCATTCCTGAGCAAAAGAAACTTAAGAGTGTGCGTGACCTACCTGGCTTAGTTCAGCTTTCATCGGGTTTGTAGACTGTGATGACGTGGAAATATGCAGATACACTTGTCACAAAACGACAAGTTCCCTATGATGTCCTAGGGACGAAGTGAAGACTGTCACTGGAGGTGAGGAAAGTTGTGTAGATACATGAGAGACCCGAAGAAGGAAGCTGACCGGCAGGGAGCTCTGCAATGACACCCACAGTTCTTGGAGACATGTGCAGAGATAGAGAAGACATGATAAGCGTGTTTGTAGATGACTCGAAATGAAATTGGATGAAAGACTGAGATTTCCAAAAGGTCTTGACGTGCTGGTTTAGTGAGCGGGATCCAACAAGATTAAATGTACACGGAGGTGCACAAAATTGAACAACTCTCGGCACAAAATAGGCAAGGCTCAATGATAAAATCTGTCATAATGGTTGCATTTAAAACTTTAAGGGTTTTAGGTAACAAATGCAGGTTCAATGTGAGTCACCACATTGACGTGAAGTGAAGTGGAATGTGTTGTAGTCACCAAAACTGTAATGCATATATTTCAATAAAAAGTTTACTTTAAGAAGGTGTAATGCAAACAGATATGTGTACACCTATTTTCACATCAACATTATTCACAACAGCCAAAAGCGGAAGCCCAAATGCCCACGGATGTATGAATGGATTAACAAAATGTGGTACAGTCATACAATGGAATATTATTTAGTTTTTAAAAAGGAAGAAATTCTGACACAGGCTACGATATGGATGAACTTTGAAGACATCATGCTAAGTGAAATAAGCCGGTCACAAAAGAACAAATACTGTATGATTCCGCTTATATGAGGCACCTGGAGTTAGCAAATTTCATGGACAGAAAGTAGAAGGGTGATTACCACAAATGCCAAAAAATACATATGAAATGCAATCTTTTGCTCCACTAATTTGAAGAGAAGCCGCTGTCCTGCTCCACCCTCTGCTCTCGGAACACGCGGAAAGTCAAAGCACAGTCTCTACACTTTGTAAGGGACCGGCAAACGCTGCCCGCCCAGTGCCCCTGGTTGCTGCGTCCCTACTTCTTCAGGGGACCCAGATGGCTCACCCCAGCCCTCTCCCTTGATAACAGGACTACTGGTCACTTGGGAAAAGAGGAGGCTCCCAAAAGAAACACTGCTTCAAGACCCCAGCATCTTTGCTCCAGGTCCTGGGACCCAGGGGGCGGAAGGTCTGTCAGCCAGTGGAGCGACTTCCGGGCACTCCGGGCATGGTCACCCCTTCAGAGGAGCCCAGAATTCCTCTAGGTAATAAATCTTCCAGAAAGTCTTAGCCCTCCATCCCATTTGCACAGTCTCTACACTTTCACACACACACACACACGCACACGCACACGCACACACACACGCACACGCACACACACTCACAACCATCTTCAAGTCTCTGCCCCCTAAATGCAAACAAGTGATTGGTATATTCATTCATTCAACAAATCTTCATAGTCAGGGAAAATATTGAAGATGAATTTTTTTTTAAAGATTTATCTATGCAAGGAGTGCATATCATCTGAACGACGATATTTATGGCATGACACTATCATCAGAATTTATTTCTCTCACCCCTCTAAATAGTCTATGAAGCTAAGACAGAGGGGAGAAGGCCACAAGGCACCCATGATGCTACAGAGTGCCAGGTCCCAAGAGGAAGGTAACTATAAAGGGGAAAGAGCTACCAGGACCCCTGACGTCCCTTTCTCTGTGGTTGCGCCTCCCTGTGCCCCCTCCCTCTTCCCCCACCCCTCCCAGGGCAGGTGCTCCCAGGAGGGCTGGCCAGGAGAACCAGGAGGGCTGCCCCTTCTCCCTCCCTCCCTCCCTGGAAGCCCACCTACTGCTTCGCCCCCCTCCGCTGCCCACCAGGAGAGGGGGCCTGCAGGGGGCCAGCACCGCCTGGCCCAGAGGTTCAGAATTAGGGAGCCCTTTATGGCCATACACCGCAGTCCTCTCGTTTGGCTTTATCACGGATAAATTTAATATTCTGGTGTTCATCTATCTGACCCTTCAGCCTACTTCTCGGCTGGTCCAGAGCTCAGGTGGGAAGGGCCTCATTCTTCACACACATAACAAGGTGGCCTGGAGCAGGTTGGGAAGACTAAGAAGCTTGGAAGGGACCTCACAGGGGCACCTGCTGGATGCCAGAATGTGCCCTGTGGCGCTGGTATACCTAGGCAGTCACAGCAGGACATTCGCATCCCTTTGTTCTGAACAATGGGAGTTTTCTTAGACAGGTAACCTGAGAGATCCAGTATTCAGTCTCCTTGAATAAAACACCAGAGGCTCAACTAACAAAAGAAAATCAAAAGGACTGTCCTCGTTTTCAACTCTAAATGGCAGTATGAACGTTCACAGAGCATAGAAAACGCAAGCCCCAAAGCCTTTTGGGCCTGGATAAACCCAAGCAGCCCCGCCTCAAGGTGGTGGACAGAAAACTTGCATGCTTCCGTGGGCCTGAGCGAGCATTCAGTTAGTTCTGCCTCCTCATTCCTCATATGAGGCAACTGCAGTAACACACAGGAAATTCAGTACAGGACCTGACCACATCTGGGAAACCTGAATATGAACAGGATGTCAGAGGAAGTTATTAATTGTGTTATGATAATGTTATGTATAGGTAATTTTATGTATTATATAGATATATAAGTAAGTTTCTTTCTTTCCTTCCTTCCTATCTTTCTTCCTTCCTTCCTTCTTTCCTCAGAGGGATGGGGGGAGTGGACATCCATACTAAGTATCGTTAGGGGTGGAACGTCAAGGTGTTTTTTAATAAGATATAATTGACATGCAACATTGTGTAAGTTTAAGACGTACCATGTGTTGATTTAATACACTTACATATTGCAATATAATTACCACCACAGCACCAGCTAACACCTCCCTCATGCCACATAATTCTCATTTCTTTTTTGTGATGAGAACATTTAAGATCAAGTCTCCTAGCAACTTGCAAGTAGGCAACACAGTATTACTGACTATAGTCACCACGCAGAACGAACGTGCTATCTCCAGAACACATTCATCTTATTGAAACTTTGTACCCTCTGACTACCATCTCCCCCCCATCCCCCGAGCCCCTGAGAACCATCAATCTCCTGTCTGTTTCTATGCGTTTGGGTTTTTTAGAGTCCACATATAAGTGAGATCACACAGTATT